TGGGGAAAAATCCCCTAATCAATAATAATAATAATAATAATCAATAAATAATAATAATAATAATCAATAATTAATAATAATAATAATAATCAATAATTAATAATAATAATATTAATAATAATATTAATAATAATATGTACATTTGTATATATACATATGTATAGTAATAAATAATCAATAAATAACCAAAGATCACTAATCCGTAGTTAAAAATCACTAATTAATAAGTTCAGTTCAGTTCAGTTCAGTTCAGCTAAGTTCAGTCAATCGGAACAGGCCCTTAGTGGAATGAAAAGGAATTGAAAATGGGAATAAAAGCAAATAAAATAAATTAAAACAATAAACACTGCTACATTCATAAATCCCAATCAATACAAGGCCATTATAGGAATGAAAATTAGGTTTATAAAAAATAATTTGCTAAATACAATATTTGTATAAGAATATGTTGCAACAAAAAAAAAAAAAAAAAAAAAAAATTGTATAAGATTATACTTCGTACTTATATATACACTTTGTTATTAAAATATAAAGAGCTATAACTTTAGCAAAATAACACACCAACTTTAAATAGAAGCATTATTCTCACATCTATCAATAGGGTTGTTTATTATATCGATGGTTCAAGATTGAAGCAGATCAAATCGGGGAACAAATCTGATTCAAAAATCGAAAATTTATTAGAAATCCATGCAGCGCGCCTTGTTCAATCAAGAGGCTAGGTCAATTGTGATAAAACCCGACTAATTAATAAAATTGATTTAAAGCTCCAAAATCAGTTTAAACATATTTTGATGTCAATAAAAATAGAAAGAAAATAAAGAAAATCAATCTTCGAGGTAATATAGATACCTTCTCAAAATATTAAAGAGAATGTATATTAATTATCCTAGATATTCTTATGTACAACAAAATACGCTAACTCAAGACTAACTTGCTTGTAGAGGATTTTGACCAAAGTACACTAGATCGAAGATTGAGCTTTTTTTATCCGAATACTAGACAAGTTCTTTTAAAATCTTGCCCATTTTTCAATTCAGACTAGTTTTTGTACCCCTTAATTATGTACCACCCAAAGGTCCTGTTTTATTTTAATTTACTTGTTCATTTCTAAGACTTGTGAAGTTGTGATACGTATATTTTATATTCAAAGCTACAATATCATTTTTGTATAATTATCATCAATAAATTTTTACTTTTTTTAGTGTTTCCTCTTTTTTTACGAGTAATTTTTTATTTTTTTAAAAAAGATATACAATCAAATATCTTATCGTTAAGTTTCAAGAACGTATTACATGCTTGATCCCTTTAAGGCTTTAGGATTTCAGCTTCTTTTGATCTGGTGCTGCAAAACATATCGTAAGAAGCTTTTTTATTTTTTTCTTTTTGTTTAATACTGTAATAACAAATTTAAAAGAATTTCCATTAATATTAGGACATTATCAAACTTGTCTTTGTAGCCATATAATTCATGGTGGAAACTTGAACGAACCTTTCCAACTTTATAGGATGAATTAAGAAGCACCACTACTATATCTTATATATGTTATATATATCCATCTTAGCTTTAATTTAATTAAAACAACTAAACAAGCGGGCATGTGTAATTTGCAAATTAAATACTCGTACTAAACTAAATTTCATACACCCTACAAACTCCGATGCGATTCTCCATTGTCTTTACTTAAGCATGAAGTATACTCCGTTCCTATTTTTAATTTCAGTTTGTTTCGCGCATTTTCGGATATAAAGACCTTAGCAATTATTCTCACTTGCTACTACGTTTGTATATTAGAAAATACATGTAAACATTATTATAACAAGATGTTGTTAGGTTCATCTTAATATATAATTATAAAATTTTAAATTATTTTACAATATTACAAGCACGTAACTATAAAGATATTTTTAGTTAAAACACATATGTGATTATATGTGATCATAAATTAGCTATGGAATCATGCATGGCTTTGAAGTTCTAACAACATCCATGGACCATATCGTAATCGACACATGTAAATAAGTACGTTATATAAAATTGTCATCAAATGCCAACTTTCTTAGTTGATTGGTTACAATATTAGAGAATGGTATTTATATATATATATATATATATATATATATATATATATATATATATATATATATATATATATTCAAAATTTAGGATCAATTTTGTATAAATCATTTAACATTTGTGACTCTATGCACCAAGGAATAATAAATAAAACGATAGATCAATTTGGAGTAAAATGCGTAAACATAGATAGATATAGATTATTCTGACCTATAGCCGTTTGTACACTCCATCGACAAAATGTAATTATCTTTTCCATCAATGGTTTTCTTTGGCCTCTAGGATATTCTTAAAAAGGTGTGGATTATGGGTTACAACTTATTCTATATCATCATTTGGTCGATTACGAAAAGATGGAAAATCCATACTCTTTTAATAACAGCCATACAACTTAATTTTGTACATACTACTGTAGAAAACTCCAAATTTTGATCTTGTTTTGTATAATTACGTACTTGATATGTATAGCATTGGTTTCACATTAACATCTGTAGACGTTATTAGAAATTTTTCTTAGTTTATTATGCTAGATGGTGGTGGTGTGGTAGCTCAGTATGTATGGTAGCTCTGCCAACAGATTAATGAATAAGTATATATGTAGTTTTGTTACTTGAACCATATCATGTGAAATGCATGTCATATAAGAAAAATGTTAATTGGGTGGGTAGAGATGTAAATAATACAGTAGTAATATTATTAGAGTCATAATAATTACGCTGGTAAAAATTAAACAATATTTTCAACTTTTTACAAATGAGTTTATTAAACTCAATCATCTTGTTGAAAAAGCTCTTTTTTTTTAATTTTTATTTAAATTTTGGTGATGAACTGATTTAACCAATTTATTACCTGAGTTGATTTGATATTGCCCAATGGCTCATATAATAATACTCTGCATTTGTGATTTATATTTTGAGGTAATAACCAAAATATTTGGATTTATTTTCCAAAAATTTAACCAACAAATTAAAATCAATTAGATAATTTAGGATTTAAAAATTTGGGATGAAATATCAAGTACGTATGTACTAGTATACGCCGTCTAGTGTGTGCTTTCCTATACCTAATAATTAATCGAAAAAAACGTTCCTACGTTGTGTACTTGTGTGGGAGTGTGGGACAATATTGACGCAGAAGATATTAGGCATGTATCAACCAACGTTCGTCACTGAATCAAACCCATAATATTACAGTAATTATTTTATTAGTTAACCAAATGATTTGGCAGTAAGTAAAATCATTAATCAACGAACGTCGTCTTCAACTTTCCTTTGGCAACCCTAGGTGTGAAGATAAAGCAAAGAATTCAAGCCTCATTTCACGTCATGCAATATCATACCAATGACTACCAAATAACAAGTCATCGCCATTTGCCCATTTGCTATATTACTGGAATAACCGAATTAGGCATTCTTGTTATTCCTTTATATTTTGTCGATATCTATAGAACAAAGCATCACACAATTCAAAATGACCAAATAAATGTACTACTGTACTAGTATTTTATACAATTATTCGTTAATTTTACCCCGTATGATAATGAGAGGGTTACTTCTTTCGTGTTTTATTAAGTGTTACAGCTAGATTAATTAAAAATGTATGTTGAGACACAATTTTGACTACTAATTTATCAAATTATATGTTAGTAAAATCATAGAAAATTTTATAATATAAAATTATACATTATAACGAATCAAACAATGTCTAATACAATAACAATAGTTTTTTATATATTACTCGTAGTAAAATAATCAAGTTAAAGTCAATATGTGAATAGTGAAAAAGTCAAACTGTAATATTTATTAAAACATGGAATATGAACATATAGTCATTTGATGTGTCTTTTTTTTTTTTTACATTGTTTTGTTCCATAATTTACTACCAAAATCTTTTACCCTTACGATTTACATAGTTTTGTACCATAAAATAAAATTTGCAAGTATGATCTCTTCTTTTTGAGCAGTTGAGGTGATGAACTTAAGCCATACGATTTGTGCTCAAGTCATCTCCTATATACAGCTAAAAGAATTCTAGGCACTTTATCATGTTCATGGATCTTTAGCATCGAGAAAAGATCAATGGCTTTATAGAGCTATGCACCAAAGGATAGGATGACTTTTCCTAAGGGTCACTATAATAGGCTAATTAGGCTTGAATGAAGCCCACTATGATCAATTAGTAAAATGCGTTAGCATGCATTGTTAAAAGTTACTCATATAAATAAAAAAAATAAAAATAAAATTACTAGTATTAATGTATTACTCGTATAAGTTTGTCACTTATTATTTGGTAAATTAGTAGGTATACTATCTAGGTTTATGTGTAATGCTACATTCTACCTACATCCAATGATCCAAAGATATATAGTGATGTATGATCAATATACCAATTCATTTGTCATAATGCTTAATTCACTTTAATTTTTTTTCTATTTTGTTTTTTCATTTATTGTTTTTAAACTTTGTTTTTCGTTTACTTTAACTCTTAGGTTACCTTTTTTTTTTGTTTACCCCTAGTTTATATTGCTTGTTTGATTATTATATATTGTACTTCGTATTTATAAATTTGTTTGATATAACAAATCGATGATTTTTTTTTAATACAAAATTAACTCTTGAATCTATATTTTTACAAGAAAATCTGATCAGCAAGTTTTGTGTGTGGCTAACCATACCATGTGACGAAATATAAAGAATAAAACTGACCGAGTAAGTCAATTAATACTGACTTAGAATCCCTAAAATACAGACCTATTAACTCCTATAACACTAACTAAATGACTCTCATATAGGTTAGCCACACAGTATGGCCAATCACATATAAGAATTTGTGAAATGTGATTAATCAGCCAAAATTAGAAGTGTATAAAACTTACCGTATAAAAAAGTTCCTGATAATAATTCATTTACCAAAACAAAACGGTATTATTTCAATTACCATATCAACCAACCATGATCATAGGGTCTACTAGAACATAGAATTCCAATTTTACTCCTTGTCCTTCTCAAAACACTATAATAACCTTAACTTAAACGTTAATACCGCCATCCTTTCCATATTTATTGTAAAGAGAATTCTTTCAAAAAAAAAAAAAGAGTCAGTAGTAAATCCCGCAAGAGTAGGTAAACACACAATGACCTAAGACAACAATAAAATCCTCTTCAATAAGACCTCCTCTCAATTGTCAAAATTATACGCATCTTTTCTTCATTCTCTCTCTCTCCTCTTTTCTTTTTTATTTTCTCTCTCCTCATCTTTGCTGCTACTACTACTAAAACAACAATAGTACTACTCAACTCCAGCTCATTCATAATTTTAAGTTTAATTTACAACATTAGTACAACTTTCAACTTAACCATAAACTACAGGTGTTCGTCTCCAATTTATTCCCTTTCATATTGTAATAAAATCTTCATTATTTTGAATCTTTCCATAAAAAAAAATATTGAAAAAATGGAAGTTTTTAAAGGGAGTAGTCCTTTAAGAAAATCCCCTCCTAAAAACTCTTCTTCTTCACCTTCTTCTACAAATTCTCCAAATAATAGTGCTAAACATAGTAGTAGTACAAGTAATAGCAATACTAAGAAGAAGAAAAATAGTGTTGAAGAAGAAGAAAGACTTGGATTACTTCAAAGTAGAAACGACCCAATGAATACTTCTTTCAACTCTGATTTCTCTGTTAAAATTGAACCTTCAGCTTCAACTTCTTCGTCTGCGGCTTCTGCTGGTGTTACCATTGCTCCCGCCGTTGAACCCACCAAATCTCCCCCACCCAGTAATGCTGCCGCTGGTTCCGGACTATGTCCGCCTATTGTTCGTGGGTCGAGCTATGATTTCCAGAATGACGCGTTTGCTGCTCAAGTTTCGACAATGAAAAAACCCGTTAAAATGAACAATGAAGTGCAACATCAAAATAACGGCGGTGGTGGTGATGATGACGATGATTCATCTTCGGGGGAGTTTGATTTCCCGAAAGGAGAGGTGGATTTGGAGAACCAATGTTTATCGCCGGTGAATGAGAGTCCGAATGATTACGGGAGGATTACGCCTCGAACGCACCATCATACGGTGTCGTTTAAAGAGAGTGAGCTGGTTCAGAAGAGGGTGAGTGATGATGGTGGGCGGAATCAAAGCCAAACTATGGCGGGGGTTAGCGGAAGAGATGACGGAGATCAGGTTGTTCAGTGTAGTGGGTCAAACGCATCGTTTCAGCAGAAGAAACCTGGGTTAATGAGGATGAAGACTAAGTCCAGATTAATGGACCCACCTGAAGATGATAAAAGATCTGGGAGATTAAATCGTTCTGGGTTTATTGGAAAGAGTGAAGAAATTGAAGAAGATGATCCATTTGGTGAGGATTTACCAGAAGAATATAAAAAAGGGAAGTTGAGTTTCTTTACTGTATTGCAATGGGTTAGTTTAGTGTTAATTGTTGCTGCTTTAATATGTAGTCTTGTGATTAAACGTTTTAGGGATAAAGCTATTTGGGATATGCAATTATGGAAGTGGTTTGTTATGGGGTTAGTCTTAATTTGTGGTGGGTTGGTTTCTGGGTGGTTGATTCATCTTGTTGTCTTCTTTATTGAGCGTAATTTCTTGCTTCGAAAGCGGGTTTTGTATTTTGTTTATGGATTGAGGAGTTCTGTGCAGAAGTTTTTGTGGTTAGGGTGGGTTTTACTTGCTTGGATTTTGATTTTGGATAAGAAGGTTGAGAAGGAGACTAGTAGTCAGGTTTTGCCTTATGTTACAAAGATTTTGATCTGTTTTATGGTGGCTACATTGATGTGGTTGATTAAGACTTTGTTGCTTAAGGTGTTGGCTATGAATTTCCATGTTACCGCCTTCTTTGATAGGATTCAGGACGCGTTGTTTAATCAATATGTGATTGAGACCTTGTCTGGACCGCCTTACCTTGAGATTCAGCGTATTCAGGAAGAGGAGGAGAGGGTTGTTTCGGAGGTTAATAAGCTTCAGAATGCTGGGGTTTATATCCCTCCTGATCTTAGAGCGAGTTGTTTGCCTAATGAAGGGAAACCGCCAGCAGGGAGTGGAAGGTCGAGTGCAAGTGCCTTGCAGAGAAGTCCTCGTATTGGGAAGAGTCCTAGGAGTTCAGTGATTGGGAAGAGTCCTAGGGCACCGTCAAACTCTAGGAGGGAAGAGGAAGAAAAGGATGATGGGATTAGTATTGATCACTTGCACAGATGGAATCAGAAGAATGTATCTGCTTGGAATATGAAGAGGTTGATGAATATTGTTCGTAAGGGGGCTCTGTCTACTCTTGACGAGCAGCTTGATCCAAATTTAGAGGAGGATGACTCGGCATTGCATATTCGTAGTGAGAAGGAAGCAAAAGCTGCTGCCAAGAGAGTATTCACTAATGTTGCTCCACCAGGTTCAAAGTAAGACATTTTATCCTTGCACTTATAATTTATGATTTTCCTGAAACCATACATTAAGTTACACATTCACAAATTATTGAATGTCATTGACTCATTGGCTTTGCAAACTATGACCTTTGAGCTGAATTGTGTTTCTCTATTCTAACTTTGACTCCATATCTGATTTTGAACTGTCAAGTGTGTTTAGGAATCCTCATTTATCATAGGAAGTTTCCTTTTTCAACTTATTATAAATTTATAATACATATGCTCTTGTGTTCCTAGTTTATATCGTTTCCTGTTACAGCGTTACAGTCTCCAGTGTAGGATGACCTAAGCTTAGAAACTAGCTAAACTGTTCGATATAGTGAAGGCATTAGAGGGTGTGTGGAGTTATGCTTGTAGTTCCTTATCCCTTTTGTAGCAGTCATCTGTTATCATCCTGTTACATTATCCTTTCGTTTCCTGTTTGGCATCATTGTTCTCCTGTCATGATGTATCTTAGTAATCTGTGTCTGGTTTTCCTGTGCTGAAGATATATACAATTGGCGGACTTGATGCGCTTTCTGAGGGAAGATGAAGCACACAGGACAATAAATATGTTTGAAGGAGCTCTTGATGGTAAAGGGATCAGCAAACGATCACTTAAAAACTGGGTGGTAAGTGGTCACATCCATCTCTAATTTTGTTGTAACCTTCAACTAATTGCTATGAACAATTGGCTAAGTAGTACGTTTTGTCAAATCGTAGCTCATAAAAATGAGCTATATTTCTTTCCCCATTCCCTTTTAATATCCCTCACTGTCCCCTAGTTTTCTTTTGCAAACCATCTTACTATATTATACTATACCAGGTTAATGTGTTTAGAGAAAGAAGGGCTCTTGCATTGTCCCTCAATGACACAAAGACAGCTGTGAACAAGCTTCACCATCTGGTGAATATTATTGTCGGTATTGCTGTTATAATTATCTGGCTTCTGATCCTAGGTGTCCCCGTTACTCACTTTCTGGTCTTTGTGAGCTCCCAAGTTGTTGTACTTGCCTTCATGTTTGGTAACACTTGCAAGACAACATTCGAAGCAATCATCTTTTTGTTTGTTATGCATCCTTTTGATGTAGGTGATCGTTGTGAAATTGAAGGAGTCCAGGTAATATGTCAGTTGCCTTAATTAGAAATTTCAAATTTTAGGGCCTCGAGGGTATTATCTGTTATGCATCAGATATAATGCTTACTAATACTTTATTGCATTTTTTTTTTCACAGATGATTGTGGAGGAGATGAATATATTGACTACCGTGTTTTTGAAATATGACAACCATAAAATCATTTATCCAAACAGTGTGCTAGCAACCAAGCCTATCAGCAACTACTACCGAAGTCCAGATATGGGAGACTTCATTGATTTCTGCGTACACGTCTCAACTCCGGGGGAAAAGTTATCTTTGATGAAGGAAAGAATAACAAGGTAAGCTGTAAATTGCATTTGTTATCATTGTTGAAGGTTGAGAATTCATCTGATTGGCATATCATAAATATCTTTCTGTATATCTTAATTCTTTCTGTCCCACCCAAAGAAAAAACAATAGCAACTTGTATGATGGTTCTCATTCTGTATCACTTTCAGCCTTTCTCTGTGTGTGTGTTTGGGGGGGGGGGGGGTGGTCCTTCGGCATTTCTACCACATCTTATTGCGCATAGGCTAATTTGGCTTGTGGAGTTGTAGGGTCCCAATGTCCCTATTTAATCCAAACCTTGTGGAATAAGAATATGTTATAAAAGCACTATTTTTAAACATATAAGATAATATTCCTGTGCATTAGTTAACGAATAGAAAATGGTCAATAATTTTGTATTCATCTATAAGAATATATGAAGTACGTCGTTTTCAAGAATGTATTGGATGATCATCAGTAAGTCCTATATATGCCCTTATTCGCACTACCTGATTTTGCTTTTGTTGTTTACTACTAATTTTGATCTGATTAAACCTGATTTTACCGAAACTTATTTTTGTAAGTCGAAGAGGTTATGGTTTATTTATATACCTTCAATAACACAGCCGCATCAGAGTTCAAAATAAGGCTCTTGTTGATTATCATTTTTTGCCTACAATGTCTTGCGAATCACTTTTGGGTTTAATCACTTGAATGCATCTCTAAATGATGTAGAATTAGTGCTGCAGCCTTTTTAATAACTAGTTTGATTATCTGCTTCAGGTACATTGACAACAAGTCAGATCACTGGTACCCAGCGCCAATGATTGTAATGAGGGATGTGGATGACATGAACAAGATAAAGTTTTCGCTTTGGGTATCACATAGGATGAACCATCAAGACATGGGAGAGAGATGGGTGAGGAGATCCCTTCTTGTCGAGGAAATGGTCAAGATCTTCAAAGATCTTGACATTGAGTACCGCATGTTGCCCATGGACGTCAATGTCAGAAACTTACCGCCTGTGGTATCCGATAGGGTTCCATCTAACTGGGCTACTTGTGCAAGATGATGAGTTTTATGGAACACGTCTGTGGAGAGCAGCTCTGTCAGTGCCTTTGGTTGACATGCTATAATGCTACATTGCTAGCAACACTAGGCGGAATCATGGGAAAGGTTGAGGAGATTTTTTACTCCTTGCCTTTCCTGTGGCGCCAGTTTTCCCTGTAAGAACTGGCCAGAGTTGCGAATCATAATGTATATTATCATCTTTATTAGGTTTTGATAACTCGATTAGTATTATTCTATTTTGTGCTTTATATGTTCGATATGGACCGATGTTAGTTCTGGTTATATATATTATGTGTATCCTATCTAAATTATATTCTGCGACCTCAAACCAGAGCAAAGGATAAAAGAATTAGACAAGCCTATCAAGTTTTTTGCAAAAGAATAAAGAAAATTGTTTAATTTATTCGATGTACTTAAGTTTCATTATATTGGGTCTTTAATAAAGGAAGTAATGGAATAATTCTAAACTATGTTTATTATATTGGGTCTTTAATCAATAGATGAGGTATATTTTACTAGTACTATGTTTTTCCAGTTTTACTTTTTATGGAGTAACAATCTTAGAAAATTCTTTGTTTTGAACCTTGGTTTGTTTTCTTCCCCTTACAAACATAATGTTAAGAAAAAATAGTGTCAGTTTAATAATAATCAATAACTTTAAAGAAAAATATAATGAAATGAAAATCTAGTATAAATAATTTCAGTTCAGTAAAAATAATTATATTAAGTGAACATGGCCTATAAACAATCTAACGAATTGTATTATGTTGTACAAGAATTATTGTTTGATGCTATATTGCAATTATTTGCAAGTTGGTGGCGTATCTAGAGAATGGTTGTCTAATATTGAGATTTGAGGCAATAATTGTCGAATGTTACCAGCAAAGTTGATGAGTACATGACTCAGATGCTGGCTATCAACTAGGAATACATGTGCAATCGTTGAATCTTTTTGAATTTTAGTAGACTTACATTTCTTTTCTTTCTTTTTTTTTTTTTTTTTTTTTTTTTGTTTTTTGGAATAAACTTACATTTCATATTCATACAATTAAATTAGGCTTTTTGTTTCTTTTATTTGCACTATTTTTTTTTTACCGTAAATTGCGGCTTCATATATTTTTTTTAATAATTGTTTTTATTTTTTTAATACGTAGTAGTATTCTGGTATTTTAGTAATTTTACGTTATTGGTAGTTTGGTACAGCAATAGGTTTTGTATGAGAAGATGTTACTAGGAGATGCGATAATCGTTGCCATATCAGTTGCTGAATGCTGAATATTCAACGACCTAAAAAGAAATATATAAAGTTCCAAAAGTACTAAAATGGTAAAAGTAATTTTACATGTCAAAGGAACACAAAAATTGTGTTTCTAGAGGCTTAGGCTTACCTTTAGTAATTTTTGACGTAAAAGTAAAAGAAAGGAAGATCAAAATTTATAAGGAGCGACCAAAATGGATATTTGAATATTCTAAATTAAATCTGATATTCAAAACATTTTCTAAGCAGTTATTTAATACTCCTACAAAGTAATAATTTACTGTAGATAATGGATTTTAAAAGGTTATTATCCAAAACCAATTTGAGAACTTTCAAATATTTGATTACTAGACATACAAAACACTATATTGGATATCCTAGGGCTTATTTGACATTGTTTATTACGGAGTATTTTTATTTTTTGTTTTTTTAAAAATGTAAAACTAAAACGCAGGAAACAGAAAACAAGAAATTAGGGAAAAAAAAAAAAAAAGAGGGGTGTAATCTTATATAAAGAAATCTTTGTTCTCCTCAACTTTCAATATGGGAGAGCAATAAACACCTTGAGGTTGGTGGGAAGTTTGTTAGTTTGGAACTCATGGAAGGGAAGTTTAGTGGGAAGTGGGAAAAAAAATATGTATCCCACTCCCACACTGTAAAAATATGAAATAGTTCTCCAAATTTTCTCATACAAGTATATTTTGCCTCTACATTTTGGGGCTAACAAAATGACTAAGCATGAGGTCCATATTGCTCAATGCTTTCAGCTAGTGAATTGGGCTGGACATGTTAGCTTTGCTCACGTCTAAGTGGGTTTTACGAGGAAGCCCTTATTGACATGTAAAATGTTATGAAAAAGACTTGTTTGTAACAACCAAACTAGTAAGTGAGTCGGGTTTGTTTATTTTTTTCATATTTCATTACATGCATTATATCTTTTTTTTATTTTAAATAAACGTGCTACCCTTTATTAGTTGGATGCACAAATAAACCATCAAATTAATATTCAACCACCGAGCAAAAGTAGTGAATAATGAAATATTTTACACGCGCTAACCTTGAGAGCTCGTAAAATGTTTCTCGAAGAGGTTTAGACCATTAAGTACATCATTTCCTTGTGTTGTTAATTTGATAGGGATATATATATTGAATATATATAGGTTATAATTTTACAAATAAAAAATGGGTCAAAGCAATTTAAAGACATTCAACTTTTCAATTGTGACCAAAATAAATACTTAAATGGCTAGTCTATTGGTTTGCAAGTAACACATTCTCTTTTTCTAAAGTTGAAATCTATTTTTTTTTACGCAAAATAGAAATGCTATATTATATCAAAGTGATCTTAGTCACTTGAGCAAAAGCAGAGTAAGTAGGTGCATGTTATCCCTCATAACGTTCACAAAAGCATATAAAACATTAAGATAGTAGTTAGACTGGATTATAACTATAGACTTCCTAAGATTCACAATTTGAGCAAAAGGTGAACTAGGATCAACTAGCAGGACATAGCTAATTTGTAGGATGATAGTCAGGGATCTCTGAAGTATAGGTTTCAAACACATTAGCTGGAGGATAGAAGTAAATTTCCTTCTCCCCCCTTCTTCACTCTAGTTCTTCCAATCATATAGCCAGCTTGTCAGCCACAAGGTTAACTGTCCTCGGATCATGAAGGATGATGACAGTCCATGTCCTTTGGAGAAGAGAGGCTACATCTCTTATGATGTTTCCAAGATCAGTGTCCTTGTGATTATTTGGGTTTTTCAGCATTTTGGTCAGAGCATCCGCATATCAGATCAAGATGAGTAATATTCCTTTTCCAAGCCATAAGTAAGCCTTCCCTAATGGCTATAAGTTCACCAGAAGTAGAAGTTATGGCATTGAAGTTCAAAGCAAACCCTTCTTGCCATATTCCCTTGTCACACCTGATGACACCACCTCCCCCTGCATTACCTAAATTCATCCATGATCTATTAGTGTTCAGTTTGAAGCAACCTTGTTGAGGTGGAGCTCTGGTTCTCATAGCAGCAGAGCTTGAGGAAGAAGCAATATCTGGGTGGCCTTGTTTTAATTTCAGACAGTAGTGATAATCAACTAGGAATTTGTTAAAAGTGGATTTGACGAATAACATTTTACGATAAAAAATAGCCATATTTCTAGTTTTCCATATTTCTAAAGTTGAAATCAATAACTTCAACTGTGCCTAAACACTATCGGTTGAAAACTTAGAGCATGTTCTGATTGACTGAATTGAGCCGAATTGAACTTATTGGAGCTGAACAATTTATGAGAGAAGAAAATTAAGAACTGAACTTAACTTATTAGAGATGAGCTGTATAATGTGATTCACATGTCTGTTCTTCGATTATAAAACTGAAAATTAGGGATATGGGGTTTTGGATTAATTTGAATATTTGTAATTTGGTATAAATTATGTTGAAAATGGTACTTTTCTATGCTTGTCTCTAAAAGTTTTTCCTGTTTTGATTACGGTGGTCGGTGGGTGTATAAAATGGATATAGGGAAATCCCTGATTTCAATTTCATGGGATAGAAAATTACAAAGCTTTTGAGTAATTGGACTATTGGGTGTCATAATGTATTTCTAAATCTATGGAGTTGATTGCTTTGCTTGTATAATTCTTGTGATTTAAGGCCAATTAGTTATAAGTTGAAATTGGGTATTCCAAGTTTGATTCATAGCTTTGATAAGACCGAATAGATTAAAGATTAATTTATGGAGGATTATTTGGCTCTGGTACTATGTTAGATGGTGTAATTTAAAGAAAAATGTAGTAATTTAGGAGAAAAGAGGGTTATTTTCTGTACACTTTGCTTTTTATATGTTGTGTTTTTGGTAACTCTGGTCTTAAAATGTTAATAAAAAAGTTAAGACTTTACCTAGGAATTAGATTTCCATATACATATTCTTCGTATAACACAAATATTGCGTGTACTTGTTGTATAGACATTACCTGATATGAAAAGCTTGGGCATGGTTAAGTCTTAAAACTTGTATCAGACTTGCATATACTTGTGAAACAATGGTTAAGTTTGATAGCCTACTATTTGGCTTGCAGTAGCAGTTATCAGGCTTTCAATATTACTAGTTAGATCAATGTATTTCATAATGATTTGAACTTTTCAGGCTTTTGACATAACTAGTAGTCTAATATCAGAATTTGCTTCTCATATATGCCATTTGTTGTATGCTTCTTAATGACTTAATCAGCTATCAGTTTATCACCCTTTTCTCAGTAACAAAAAATAAGTCTGTAACCAAGGGTGTACAATGGATGCAGCGTTAATTTCTCCATTGTTCTAGGAAATTGTCACGATGTCTGACTATAATATGTCTGAATTAAGTGAAATATAACTTTTGATTTGTTATTGAATAAGACTCAAGTTAGAGGTTTCTCAAATTTTCTGTGTGACTTTCCCTTTCAAATGCTGCTATACTGGTTACAGGTCAAGCCGTTGGGGGGTGTTAATTTCTTGTTGTAGGAAGTTCCAGCCTGTGTTATCTCTTGCATTATATTGACTGCCAAGATTTCCCAAAAAACAGCATTGTCTTGTGCTCTTGTGTTTATTGACTTGCTGTCATATGAGTTTCTTGTTTGCATTTAGGAAGTATTAATTGCTTGAAGATGGATACTCAGTTTTAGAAGTTTTGAGATACTTGTGGACATTGTAAGTGTCTGGAAAGAGATAAGCATGGAATTTTATTTGCACTCTTTTGATCAAGTAATAATGTGTTTGATCAGAACATGTCAGAGTAGTGTTGTCACAACAACTGCAGCTATCTTCTGAAATATTTTAGTTCACTCTTGTAACAGTTTCTGGCTATCAAATCCATCCGATTGCCTTCTTTCAGGAATGGCTCTTACTGTAGAACATTCAATTGGTGTGTCATGTCTTTAATTATTTCAACTAGAAATGTCTAGTCGGTTGGTATTCTATCTCATAACTCACAAACATCTGCAATATTCAG